GGCATGAGAGGGGACTGGGTATTAGAAAACCGGCTGAAAGGGCTGGGGTGACCCCTACAGCTCCTTCAGCATGTCCTCGTGCTGTCTGCTGGGCCACACCTGCAGAGCTGCTGACAGGTAGCACCAATGGAATAGCCCCAGCTGCTGGGCGGGCGTGGCAGGGGCACTCAGGTAAGACGGGCACGGGGAAGGCTGTGGGAACCACTCAGCCCAGAGGAGGTGTGGGTGTACAGGTGCACAGGGGCAGAGTGGGACCTGTCTCTGGCTAAGTATACTCTGATCCTCTGGTTGTCCCTCAAAGCGGCCTTGTCCTCGTGGCTGGAAGCTGTCTCAGGAGTGCCCGGGACCCTCGAGGGTCGGCCATTGTTGAGGCAGCGTGGTATGGTCGGAGGTGCTGGGAGGGGGGTCCCTGTCTGTGGCCCACCCTGGCCCTGTGGTTCTTTCCTATCTCAGCCTCTCCTTTGTCCCAACTCTAAAACGAAGGGGTTGGACTACGTGTCTTCGAAAGTGCTTTCCGGCTCTGGCCCCCTCCCAGGATCGCGGAGATGCAAAGGCAGCCCGCTGCTTCCCAGAGGCCTCTGCTGTCCCGTTTCTTCCCGAGGTGAAGGGCAAACGAGGCCCTTCTTGGACGCCTCAGAGCCAGAGGCTAGGCCAGGAAGTGAATTCCGAGCGCTCTGGGCACCATCAGCCCAGCCCCGGCCTCCCTTCTGACGCACCCTTCTCCGTCATGAGAGGGCAAGGAAGTAGGGGCACAGGGTGCCTCAGCAGTCACCGAGCCCTGGCATGTGGTGGCAGAAAGGAGCCTGGGAAGCTCCTCAGAGGCCATCTCCGTTCCGCAACCCCAATGCCACCTGCCCTCCACCCCGGCAAGCCCTGCTGCCACCTCCCAAGGAAGACTTCCTGTCCGCCCTGCCTAGGAGATGACTCTTTCCGCGATGCGCACCGAACGCCACCTCCCCCTCGCCTACATCTTCCTGTGGGGCGCGAGGCATGTGTCCGCGACTCCTGCCCACCAAAACTGCTAGCTCTCTGCCCTGGAATCACTCTGTACCCCCAACCCTGTCTGCTCCTGGGGTTCTCACCTCCTCAGGGGCTCAGGGACAAAGTGCCAAAGCCACGGGCACCTGGAATCTCAGAGCCAAAAGACCAAAGCCACCTCGTCCAGTTCCCGCCCCGGAGTCTCTCCCAGATGGCTGGGCACCTGTAGAGCCAGGGTCACCCCTTCTCTTCCGGGAACCAGCTCCATCCCAGCGAGCTCTGTCTACTCACCAGGCCTGAAGCCCCATGGAGGTGGCTTCTCGCTAGAGGAAAAACAACTTCCTTAAGGCCACGGCTCAATTTCTTACACCCACTGCCCCAAGGTGCTCGCTGGAGGACCTGGGGCAAACAGAACATCCAACCCCCTGCTGACTCCTGGCTGGGCTGGAGTTCCTGCCCGAGTGGTGGTCCTGGGATGCTGCCACAGTCCAGTTCTCCCCAAGTGGTCCTCATGACCCCACTGAAGAGGCACAGATATGAATGAAGCCCCCGGGAGGCTGGAGGCATGGGCAGCTTTCCAACGTGGCCAGCACGGCCCCAGAGCTGCTGGTAGACACTGGGGTGGGGGTGAGTGGGCAGCACCAGGGGTCTCTGAGAGCTGCCCCTTGGCCCAGCAGGGCTGACACACAGCCTTGCCAAGCAGCTGTTGGGCTGGGGCTAGGGCACCCAGCCACCCTGCCCTGGTCTGCTGCCCAGAGTCCACCACAGGGCAGCATGGGGGGGGGGCAGCAGGCGTGCTCACAGCTTCTTCTTCTTCACCACAGGGATGGGCACCACTTGGAAGATTTTGGCCTTGTGGTCCTCAGTGTCCAGAGTCACCCAGGTGGGCCGGAAGCTGCCTTTGAAGCCCACGAAGGCCATCTTCTCTGTAAAGCAAGGGTGCCACACGTGAGAAAGAACACCCAGAGATGCGGGCTTGGTCCGTGCCCTTCCACAGCGCTCTGCCGCCTTGCCTGGCCCTAGGCACACTGGGCTGGGGCCCCACTGGCGACTGCTCAGTGCACAGCTACCGATGGTTCCTGGCTTTTTGGCAATCTTCCCTGAGCCTCCCCGTCAACTCAGCACACTGGGTCTCCGTTTCTCTGTTGCACACAGGAAAGCAGGTGCGTGCACCTGCCCAGCACAGGCAGTAGAAAGGGGCGGTGCAGGTGCAGGGACTGGCTGAGAAGGAGGTGACTCGGCACAAGCCCCACCTGTTTCCAGCAGCCCCCTGGACCGTCAGCAGTGTCTGCCCTTCTCAGAAGCCCCCTTTCCCCATCTCTTAAGCATTGGCATTAACCTACAAGAAATCCTGTTCCCCGTTTCCTGCACCCCTTCCCCCCGACTCCACAGGGTTAGCAGTTGCTAGCATTCTGTGGCTTTAAAGGGAGCTTCTGAGCAATGCGGGGATTGGTACAAGGTCCCAGAGATGGAGCCGGTAGGCTCCAAGGCTGTGCACAGCTATACCTGTGGCATGTCAGAGCTTGACTGCCACTGACAGTCTCCTGGCCGGCAGACACATGTCCAGGGTCACTGGGAAAGTGTCCCTCGATTTAGGCCACGTCAGAATGAGTGGCACAAACACAAGAAATTCCTTCTGGTTAGTTCGAACTGCCCCCTGGGGTTTCCCAGACAACTGCGTCTTCCTCCCACAGAGCAGCTGGTGGGTTGGAGCGGCTGCCCATTAGGTTAGCAGTCCATTGCTTAACCCCCGGACCACTAGGACTCCTGAGGCTCAGAGCTTTAAAACATCCCAAACCAAAACCAACAACAAAATCCCCTCACTGCCATCATGTTTGATTCGGACTTACAGCGAAAACTAAAGGACAGGCTGGAACTGCCCCCGGCGGCTTCTGAGACTCTTTTTTTTTTATTTTAATTTTAATTAATTAATTTTTTTGAGACTAACTCTTTATGAGAGTATGAAGTCTCGTCTTTCTTCCACAGAGCGTCTGGTGGTTTCAAACTGCCCACCTGGTGGCCAACCCACTACAACACCATGGCCCTAGGATTTAGGGCAAAAGATCTTCCTTTAAAAGATGGAAGCCTAAAAGCGATCGCAGGCCTGGGTTGGAGAGAAGCTTCTCTGCCTCCTGTCTTCCTGGGCGGGTGTTGGGGCCTTCTCCTGGTCTGGTTTTGCTCTGGGAGTGGGCGGGATAAAAGTCCCACAGGAGGGGCTGCTGGATTTGATGTCGTTTGTCGTCAGAAGGGCGCAGTGGTGGACCACCCTGGCTTTGGATCAGGAAAAGATCAGGATCCAAATCCTCAGATTAGACAAGTGACTTCACTGCCTAAGTCTCAGCTCCCCTTCTCTCAACAGTACCCGTTGCACCAGTTCTGCGGTGCAGCGTGGATCCCCACAATGCTCCTTCCCATTCCCTCCACGCCCCTCCAAAGAGCCCTTCGGAGTACTGTCGGGGAGGGGAGATGACGTGAGGGTCCTTCGGGACCCTGTGGTAGGCGTTCACTCTGGAAAGCTGCGTGACCCTGAACGGACCAGTTAGACCCCCAGGCCTTCATGTTCCCCTCCCCAACGAGTCCCTGGGAGTCCCTGGGTAGGCAACTCAGTTAGATGCTTGATTACTAGCAGAATCAGTGGTGCCTGAGAAGACTGGCCTGGAGATGGCCTTCCAAAAGGTCACAACCTTGCAAACCCTAGAACAGCAGCTCTCTCTGCACACATGCGGCCCCCGTTAGCAGAAAAGGACTCCACAGCCACTGAGGTTGGACGCCTATCCCCGAGGAAGAAGTGAGGGTGTGCCAAGGCGCTGTTAACCGTGCACAGCGTTGAGCACCGCTGGCCTGCCGGGCGAGAGTTAGGGCCCTGGGCAGTCTGAGCCGCAGTCAGCGTTGCGAGGTTGTAGGCTCCCAGGACAGATCACCCCACTTCCCAGTGGACACTTTGGTGGCACCAAGGGCTGTCGGCTGAGTAAATTGGTAGACAACTCCAAATCGGTTTCTTCTAAAACCTGATTACAAGTGAAAGCAAAATTGTTGTCACGTAGGCCGGGAGTCCCTGGCTCGTACAAGCAGTGCACGTGCTTGGCTGCCTAACCAACAGAGTCATGTTTTTGAGCCCACCAAGAGGTACTTTGGAGGAAAGTCCTGGCTGTCAACCTTTGGGCGGGGGTGGTGGTGGGGGAACCAGCCACCGAAAAACCCATGCCAAGCAGTTCTACTGCGATAGCCACAAGGACGCCGTGCCGTGGAACTCTCTTGGCTGCACCTGGTTGGATAGTAAGTAGGTGGCATCTGGCTCACTTCTTGCCCGCCACCGTGCAGAAGATTCAGAGCCTGCACCCAAGGTTAGCAGGTGAGACCGCTCTGCTCTCGGGAAGGGCTAGCGGCAACCTCCGTGCTAGGTATTTGCATCCTGTGGCTTCCCAGTCAGTCTGCAGCCCAGCCCAGACAGCTTACCTTTCAATTTCAGCCCCTTTTCCGCGCCGAGCTTTTCCAGCACTCTGGTCCAAGGGCCTCTGGAGATGTATCTGCCCTTTGACGCCATGAGAACTATGGAACTGAGGAGAAGGGGATGTGGTCACGGACAACAGACCATGAGAGCAGTCTGGAGTGAGGGGCTGACAGGGCAGGGGAGGAGGTCGTGTGCAGTGGGCCGGAGTTTCAGCCGAGTCTGGGGAGCTGGCCAAGGATTTGGGAAGGAGTGGGCTTTCTCGAAGGGCAGCTTGCTGACAGGCTCTTTCCAAAGGGTGACAGCATCCTGACACCCTCCTACGCATCTGGCTGCGGCTGGTGCCCAGGGCTCCTGGAAGCCTGCACTCTGCCCGCTGCGGCGCGCGTCGGTCCCCACATGGGGCAGTGCGCCTCTGCCAGGGCCGGGCACACAGTAGGACTTCCGCAGGCATTTCTTACTTTGAATGATCTCAGCCCCGGCTGGAGGGGGCTAGATGGAAACATGGTGTCAGAAAGAAAAGCGGAGAGGAAGAGGGACAGAGAGGAAAGAGTGGGACATGTGTTGGCGTGCGTGTCTTTAAGATGCACACTGCCTGCTCTCTCCTGGGACCAGTGGTGGCCCTGCGGATGGGGAGGAGAAGACCAGGGCCCTGGGCACAAAGGGGTAGACCGGCAATGACAGTGGAGAAGGACCTGACTCGCCCCCTTTGTACTCCTTTCCAGGAGGTGAGGGACGGGTCGAGAGGTGCCTAATTCTGGTCTGCAGACCCATCACCAGCTCAGGGCCTGCCGCAGTGTTTACTCAGGAGGGGGCCAAGGACTTCCCTTTAGGAGGCTCGCCCAGGCTGCTGCCGGGCTGGGAGGAGCCAAACAGAACCATTCTGCACACTCATCTCCTATTCCAGACTTCTGCCTCCTGGTTCCTTTCAAGAAAAAGATCTTTGGCTCAAGAAGGTTTTTTGAAAACAATAGATCTCCAGATGATCAATGGGCTTTTCCCAAAAGGATAAATCGGATATGTCTACGTGGAACTAAGACTCAAGAAGCCTGTGCTGGGGGTTAGCGGTGGGGCGAAATGCGGCGAAGCTCAGAGTTGGTGCTCCGGGGCCTCTCGTAGCTCAGGGCCCAGGTCGTGCCCACCCGATGCCTGTGTGTTTTCCTTCGGTGAGTGTTCTCGAGGCACCTGCTCAATGGCAGGTACCACGCCAAGCATTTTACATAGTCTTCCTGCTCTTCAGGGTGTGGCTCTTGAGCCGGCTCCTTAGCTGGCTACGGTGCCGGAAACTCGACCGTAATCAGGCAGGAAGTCCACAGTCCAGATGGGGGAGCAGGCCTGGCCGCAAGTGCTCTTGCAGGGACTGCTTCAGCAGGGCCTGGCTTCTTGGCGGGGCAGAAGAGGTCTCCTGGGAAGGATGGCATGTGTACCAGGCTTGGGGAGGGTGGGGGCTTAGCCCAAGATTGCTGAGGGGAGGGCAGAGGCGATGCCTGCATGGGAAAAGTTCAAGCCAGCAGCCAATGAGGATGGTGGATGAAAGTGAGGGAGTCTAGATGGGGGGGGCCTGTTAGGAGACAGGGCTGCCTGTCGTGGTGATGGACGGGAAGGCGTGGGCTGAGGAGCCCTTGAGAGGACACTGAGCTGGGACCTGGCACGCGAGCAGTCCGGATCGGTATAAAGAAGGGATGATTCAAGCACGGTGCAGTATAGCACAGGCGAATCACACATCATGCCTCTAGCTCAGCACTTCTCAACCTGTGGGTCACGACCCCTTTGGGGGTCGAACGACCCTTTGACAGGGGTTGCCCGATTCATAACACTAGCAAAATAACAGTTATGAAATAGCAACAAAAATAATTTTACGGTTGGGGGGTCACCACATGGGGAACTGTATTAAAGGGTCGAGGCATTAGGAAGGTTGAGAACCACTGCTCTGGTTCCTGAATGCTTCCCCTCACCCTGACTACCATGACCCAGTTCTACCTTACAAATCTGGCTACACTGGAGAACACATTGGTATAGACAAGCTCTCTTGACACATGGAATTCAGGAAAGATAAGCCCCTCAGGTACAGTAATGGGAATCACATTGTCATGAGGGTTGGGGGGCGGTTAGGGAGGGAGAAGGGTGAGGAAGGGGGAACCCATCACAAGGTTGGCTATATCCCCTCCCCCAGCCCCAAATGGGCAAATAACAGCAATGTGGGTGAAGGGGGACAGTGGAGAGTGTAAGATATGCAATAATCATAACAATATATAATTGATCAAGGATTCATGAGCGTGGGAGGGAGGGGCAAAAAGAGGGGCTTAACCAAGGGTTCAAGTAGAAAAAGTTTCGGAAATGATGGTGGCAACATATATACAAATATGCTAGATACAATTGACACATGGAATGTTCTAAGAGCTGTAAGAGCCCCCAATAAAGTTATTTTTTAGAAAGTTTTAAAAACCATGTAAAGATATAGTATAAATCTAAAAAGGAAAGAAAGCGGAGGGAAGGGTCAAGGTCAAGGCGCAGGCTCTGGGTTAGTTGTCTGCCTGGATAGTGGAACCCCGAGGCACGTCGGGTTTGGAGGACTTTAAAAAACAGAAACGAAAACACAAGCGAGGAGACATCCGTTCCACGTGAGATGTCTGGGAGGCGCTCTCCCAGCCGCAGGCGGCTCTGCACATCGGAGGCGAGGTCTGGGCTGGAGACTCTGAGGCCACCAGCATGTGGGTCCCATGGGAGGAGTGGGAGGGATGAGATCATGCTGGGACAGTGTGCTTCCCACTTGTCGCTGGGCAATCCCATCTCCCTCCAACCTGACCTACTTTCCTATTGGCCCTGGCTCCAGGGTGAGAGTCAACGGGGTTCAGGGAGCTTTTGAGGCCCAGCACCCAGTTTTTGTGGGCAGGTCACAAAGATGCTCTAGACGTTCCCTGACTGGTCAGTGATGGAGACAGGGACCCAGAGTAAGGCTCTGTGGTGCCCGAAGCGGAAGCAGGCACTCACTTGTCCGGCATGGATGCCACGTAATTGAAGAGCTGCCATGGGATGCCCTGTAGGATGGAGTTCCGGAAGCTCATGTGGCTCACCACATGCCCTTGGTGCCCATCCACCACTACCACGTGGATGCCATCTTCCAAGCCAGGGTACTTCCTCCCATCCACCTGCAGACACAAACGAAGCACGGGGCATGAGGTGGGGTCCTGAGGCAGTCACAGCCCCCTGGTTCTCCTGCCGGGAAGGGTCCATGTAGACCCTGGAGTCAGAGGTTGGCCGTGCTTTTGTTTAAAGCACAAAAGCCTCATAAATCAGTTCCTTGTCATCTGCCGCCGTGAGAGTGGGTTGAATGGCATTCTCCCACAAACCCCCTCCTGCCCCCAAAGATACACCTCCAAAGGCCCATGATTATGACCCGATATGGAAACAGGGTCTTTGCAGATGTCCTTAAGTGAAGGATCTTGAGACGAGATCATTCTGAACGTTAAGGCAGTCCCTAAATTCAATGGCAGCTGTCCTTATAAAAGAAAGACCGGGGCACATTCGAGACTCAGGTACAAGGAAGGAAGGCCTTGTGAGGACAGAGGCAGACATCAGAGTGACCTCCCTACAAGCCCGGGAGCACCAAGGTTTGCTTTCAGCCCCAGGAGCGAAGAGAAGGATGTGGGACCCTTCTCCCCCCAGAGCCTCCGGCAGAAGCTGATCCCCATGGAGGCCTGGTTCGGCCTTGTGGACACTAGATCTGAGAGAGAGGGTCTTTCTGACCTTTGAAGCCACCCGGAGTCAGTGGTGATTTGTTCAGCCACGCTAACGCACTCTCTCAGTGAGCTGACCAGGGACCCGGAGGGGCCGGAGCCACTTACTGCAATGTAAGCGAAGTCGTTCCGCAGGTGGAAGAAGTGCTGCTTGGAGCTTTCCATCTTGACCTCTAAGAAGCGGTCCTGTGTTTTCTGGAAGGAAAAAGGGGCATGCTGGTCAGGTTTGGGAAGTCAAGTTGGTGGCCTGGCGGGGGAGAGGGCCGCCCCCTTTATCTCCACCCCTCCCCCTGTTAACAGCAAATACTCTGTGGAGCCGAGGGGATGTCCAGAAGGCAGCCTCGCTGGGTCTCAGCGCAGCTGTGGGGAAGGGGTCTGGGCTCACCCCACGGCCACTCACCAGCCGAGAACTAAGGAGCTTCCTGGGCATGGGCACGCCCACAACAGCCCTCTCGGTGTACTTGGGGTAGGCAGTGGCGGTGCAGTCGCTGATGGGCGCGTGCTTTGGGATCAGGGCTTTGATCTTGATTCTCTCGCAGCCTTTCACGGAGCAGAAGGCGAACTTCTCCCGCTCGTTCTGCGCTTTCAGCTTCAGGAGCAACAGCCTGTACAAAGAGGGCACGACTGAGCCTTCGGCATTGGCCGGCAGACCCTCTCCTCCCCCTCGTCCAAAGACATCTACCCCGTGCTTCCTAAAGGCTGGCCAATGTCATTGCCCCCATAGGCCTCACAGAAGTTTACGGTGCCTGCAGAAGGATTCCATGTGATTGCGGAGAATAAAATAACTCCTTGCAGGAGAATGAAATGATGTTCTGAGCAAGTCCTATATGCCATGCCTTACCCAAGCCACAAAGAGGTGCAGGGTCTCATGGAACCCTCCAATCTGGCTGCGCCAAACGGCTGCTGCGACCTCTGAGGTTCTCCGTGCCTTCTACTCCCATGTGTGCTAAGATCAGGGATCAAAATCATCTGCCCCGACCAGGCTGTTGTGAGGATTTGAGAGCATCTACCACGTGTTCTTCATGCTTAGAGCCACAGCGTCTTCCACCATTTCCCCCGGAAATCAGTTCATCTCCTGCTATTGACACTGCAATCTAACAGAGGCTGATAGCTTTCAAAACCTCCTCGGTAGATGGTACAATAACCCAAGGATCAAAGGGCCCAGGAAAGTATCCTGCACTTGATCAGCGATAATTGCACAGTCTGGTGCCCTGGCGTCACAGTGGGTCAGCAGTTTGAACCACCAGCAGTGCCCAGGGAGAAAGATGAGGCTTTCTGCTTCCAGAAAGATGCACAGCCTTGGAAACCCACAGAGGCGGTTCTGCTCGATCCGATGGGGCTGCTAAGTAAGAATAGGATCACTTCGATGGCAGAGAGTTTGAGCGAACTGCACGGTAAGGGGACCGGTGGCACTGTGAGATACGCAACAACAGAGTGCTTTCTTGCAAGGCCAGCTGTTCAAACCCACCAGCCCCTCCTTGGGAGAAATAGAAGGCTGGCTGTCTGCCTTTGTAAAGATGGACAGCCGCAGAGTCAGAGTGGGGTCCCTGGCAGTGGGTTTGGACTTGGGTTTTGCTGAGGAGTACTGGGAAGACCAAGGCCACCAGAGGGGGAAGAGCCTCGTTCCTGCAGCCAAGGGCAGCCTCCTCACCCCGAGTCCTCGTCCCAGTAGTAGTGGCTCCTGCCCGCGTAGCTCTGCTCCAGTTTTTCCATCTGCAGGGTCCTTATAAAGGTGCCCGTCTTGGAAGTCTGCTTTAGCAGGCGGTTGTGGACGTCCGAGAGGATGGAAAAGGTTGTTCCTCGGGGGTAGCAGAGCCCTACCCGGATCCAGTCGCCCCTAGGACCAGAAGTAGAGCCACGTTACACAAGCAAAGGCGCTCATCCCTGCCAGCCTCCGCGGGCAGGTCTCTAAGACCAAAGACGCCTCCACTGGTTACCCGGTGATTCCGAGCGAGTATCTGTGACTGAGGCCCCGCGCGGGCAACGAGAGAGGGAGCCACAGTGACTGAAAAGGGCCAGCGGCGTGACTCGGGGGTCAACCTCAGGGGTGGTCCCTGTGGACCCTTCCGTGGTAAAAGGGCACTCTGAACAGGAGAGGCGACCTCATGGCATTTACAAGACTGCAGGGTCTGGAAGCCCACCCAACAGGGTTGGCACGGCCACTCCATTTCCTGGACTCCGTTTTCTGCATCCGATATGTACCCGCCTCCCAGGGCGAGCGTGACAGCTACGTGGCGTGTATAGAAAGCTCCGTATGGGAGCCTGCAGTGGCATCGCTTCACCTCACAGAGTCTCACTTCCTTCTTCGGGATGTGGGAGCAGTACCGTCCAGGTCTTCCGACCACGCACTGACTGCCTGCGGAGCGTCATCCCTCTGCATCTGCCAAGCCCTCACTCCCTTTCATGCCTGAAGAATTCAGGCTCCAAGAAGTTAGCTGTATGTCCTGCCTCAGGCTGCCCACCCTGCAGAAGAAGGGCTTGTGCCCACATCTCCTGATTGCTGACCCCCAGCTGATGTCCACCCCTCTGGCTACCCCTCCTGCAGGGGTGACCTGGGCTAGGCTGAGGTTCTATGGGCAGCACGTCCCAGAGGTTGCAGCAAATCCTATCAGCTCACCATCTCAGAGCGCCATTGCCTTCACCTCTCTGAGAGCAGGTGCCCCGGGTCCTACTGCCCACCCCCCAATTTGGTGGGCCCCTCGCTCACTTGTTGAAGTTGATGAGCCAGATGGCAAGCTCGGCGGGGGCCGTCTGGTCCCAGTGGATGGTGTAGCCCTTCTGCAGAGTGATGACCGGCTGATACTGCTGGTAGTGGGTGCTCCTGGTGAGGGCCCCCTCCAGGAAAAGAGGGTGACCAGGGAAGTCGTTCTTGATGATCTTCATCCTCAAGTTACTCGTCTTGTAGGCCTGAATGTACATCTTTTCAAAGCCCCCCAAAAGAAAAACACGGGAGGCTGTTACAAGGGATCCTTCCAAGAGTGTCTGCTTCCTGTCCAACTACAGACGGCCCTCTCCCAGGTGCTTCCTCTCCTCTCTGCGGCACCCCTTGTGGACAGCCCAAGTGGAAGAAAGGCCAAGGAAGGGTGTGTCTCTCTGCGGGTGGGTGCAGCCTAAGCTGGGCTGGGCAATCTGTCCACTGGACCTCTAACCAGGAAAGGCACTATCGGTGAAGACTTGGGAGAGCCTGATTAGTAGTCAGATTAAAAAGAGGAATAAATGGGGGGAGGATGAGTTAGGGGAGAGGGAACGGTAGGGAGACAGCTACAGTTCTACTACACTTGCAACTTGTCCTTCGCTATATGCTGTCCTGACCGCATCCAAGAGCCGCTTAGAGATGGGGCCGCCCTCTTGCTCTGCAGGTCAGCACCTCAGCCGGCGGCTAGCCCACGTGGGACCAGCGCACCCTGGGCGCATGAAAAACCCAGTTGCCATCGCACCTGTTGTTGACTCACTGCGGCAGGGTCCCTGAATGGCATTCTACTCCCTAGGGTAGTCAGTGCTGAGTTTCACAGTCCATCTCCGGGCCTCCGTTCTAAGGTTCTTTGGGGTGGATGCGAATCACCAGGCTTTCAGATATCCATTGAGCATGTTGGCCCATGTGTACCACCCAGGGCTGTATTGGGTGAGCTCAAGGGATTTCATTTCAGAGAGAGAGAGAAACGAGGAAAAGCAGGGCTGACAGGCCCTGCGTCCCAGGGACCACGTAGCCTGGGGGCTTTGTGGTTGATTGGTCATCTGAACATTTATTGGAAAGACACTGTGAAGAGTTACATGATTGTTACAGCACAAGGTAAGAAAGGCTTTTTTTAATCATTCGGGTCGTTTGGATAGGATGGAGAAGCAAGTTGAGTTCCTATGCTGTCTGAAACGGGAACTTTTTTTTATAACTAATAACCAAAAACCAAACCCACTGTCATCAAGTCGGTGCCAGCCCATAGCGACCCCATAGGTCACAGGTCATAGATTCTAGTAGAACTGCCTCTGTAGAATTCCAGGACTGTAGCTCGTTATGAGAGTAGAAAGCCTCATCTTTCA